GGGGGGGGGGGGGGGGGGGGGTTCCCAGGAGCTTACACTCCGCCCCCACCCCTGCCGGCCTTAGGCGGCGAAGCCATTCCCGGTGGCCACACCACTCCTCCTCCGAGGCGCGCTCTCACGCGCCGGCCGACGCGCTTACCCCACGATGGAAAACACCGTGGCCGCCACCACGAGGTAATTGGTCTGATAATAGAGCAAGTTGCTGACCACCCGGTTGTTCCATTTGTAGATATCTTTGAAATCCGGCACCGCGAAGCGGTCGTGGCCCGGGATGAAATCGTCCCACGATCTCAGCGGCGCGAATTGCACGTCCATAGTGACTCTCCCATCCGGATTTCTGCGGCAGGAGCAGCGGCGCTAGACGCGGCGGCGGCGAGACGTCAGCGGAACCGGCTTAAGAGCGACGAGCTGGCCAGCTCATCAGCCTTGCATTTATGGTTGCCTGCAAAATTAGCCAAAAAAAAAAAAAAAGTTCCGTGGGTGGAAGGGCATTTTTTAACAACTCCTCCCCCTTCCTTTCTGATTTTCTGTTTGAAGATACCTAAGCGGATTCTGTTTCTTTTTGTAGAGCGACTCCCGATATTTATTCTCTCCTTTAAAACAGTCTCTTAAATACCTCCGACTGAAGATTGTACTGAAATGCTGAATAATTCAGTAGGTTTTAGTGTTTCAGGATGTGAGCTGTAGGACCTGATATAGGACTATAGCACTTGAGTATTGTAAAGCACATTCAGCTCAAGAAGACTGAATTATGACTCTGCAAGCATGGAGGTATAGATGAAATTTATTTAAGGTCTGACATGTACAAAACAATTATACTTTGTTTTTAAAAAATGTCCAAGGCATATTATGCTTGTGGGATAAACGTAACTTTATAATATAATATTATAATAATTATAATACACAGGAGGTACCTGCATACATATCCACCATGCTATTATTTCCTTTTAGGGTAAGTAAAGTTATAAAATGTCAAAAAAGTGATAAGTAATTAGCAAAAGAAGTTGAAGTCAGAAGATCTAGGAAAAGAAAATCTAAACCTAGTTTATACCAACAGTGCTCACTAGCTCTCTCCTTTACTTTTCCATCCTCGCAAATTATCCTTCCTTCCATGTCAAGGCAAAGATTTCTACACAGTGGGTGTAAGAGATTACTTCTACGTAAAGGATACCTGGATCCTCCCCCTCTACTGGCTCATGTGGAATAAAGTGTCATTTGGCCACCTCTGAGTTAATGAAAAGTTGTCTGCATTAGTGCCATAATCACCCAGGAGCTGGATGATAATAGTGTGAATAACTTTAATGTCAGCATTATATATATTTTTAAAGGTTAGCTAGGCTGGAGCCCTCCTGGAAACTGAACAAATGTTCATCTTGACCTGATCATAACAATTTGTAGTAACCTCTTTGATCCAGTTCATTCATGTTGTACGTTGACTAGTTTACCTTGTAGTCCATGGTACTTAATAGATCTTTCTCTCAAATAAGTATGCATATAGTGTAATTTTCTTGCTATAATGATTCTTTATCATTGTTTTTATTATTTACATACTTCCTCAGACACCGAGGTGATATACAAAATATTTTTTTTAATTAAAAGCAAGAGAACCAGATTGAAATATTAAAATTACATTCATTTAAAATGGTTGTGTCAGTTTTAAAGACACAATTCAAAGAGACTGCAAATCAATCTTAGCTCTAAAGGGCAGCATCTACAATCCATGGGAAAACCAGTCAGGCAAATGGAAAAAGGTTTCTCCTGCAAATCTTAAAAACTGGGCAGGTTTGTAATGAGAAGGGTGGTTATTTCCTCAAATAGCTAGATCTTAAGTTTTAACAGTCCAGAACTTTCTGAATTGGATCTAAAAATTAACTGACCGCTTGTGCAGATTTTTCAGTACTGGAGGGGCCATGTTCTTTCTTCAATAGCATCACTTCAATAGCAAACACCAATTAGCTTCGCTTCAATGGCATACACCAATTAATATTGCAACATTTTGCTCCGCTCGAACCTTCTTCAAGGGTAGCTCTTCTTCAGGACACAATGGCTAAACACAATATAGTTGATAGAAAAGAGTGAGTCAGGAGCAATCGCAACTAATGTGCTGAATCTAAGTATACAAACACACCTCTTCTTACTACCAATCTCTGAAAATCCAAGGGTGAGGTAGCACCAAGCTGCAGAACTGATCTTTTAGGGTGACCGCAACCCTTTTAAAATAGACTGAACCGAGGAGTTAGATTTTTTACGCAATAACAGCAGCCCTGCCTAGACTGGATTTAATCTCAGTTTGCTGATGGTCAGCCTGCTCATTACTGACTCCCAGTAAGGTTCAACGGTATGAATCATTTCTACTGAACAGAGAACAATCAAGCTCAGATCTAGGAGCCCCATTCAGAAGTGCTCAGCTTATATTTCAGGGCTTTAAAAAGAAAAAGCAACTTTACCTTTTGATCTGTAACGCCTCACTTGAGAATCTTAATACAGAACATCTAGACTGTGTTTCTCACCTTGGAGACTTTAAGATATGTGGACTTCAACTCCCAGAATTCCCCAGCCAGCATGGGTCTAGACGGAAAGTTATCAGTCTGCAAAAACAGGCTTTCAGCCCAGATTGTAGATTCTTTAAACAATGAAGAAATCCACACAGAGCTAGCCTCATTAAGGCGCAGAGGGTCAAATAGGAAAGGATAACGCTTCCTACAGTTCCTTCGTTTCAAACTTGCACCTATTATTCCATCCCTCCTGGTTTGGGTTACAGGATAAGGTCATTCATCTGGAGTCCCTGTAGCTCTCCCGGAGATATCCCTTAGGGGGCGCTCTACCGGCGTTCTGAATGGATCCCTCGTCCCTGCAGGGACTTAACACTAAGACCTGGAGCGACACTACAACGGTCGTCAGTGAACCCGGTTCTCTAAGAAGCCAATCCAACACGTCCGGTTCCACTTTGCACGCGAGAAGAACCCGGTCTTGACTACACAGAAAGATAATCCAGCAATTATCGGCAAACTTTAAAAAGAAAAGCCGCCTGTATGCTTATTCAGAAGCCAGCCCCGTAGTACTCAGTACGGCACAGCGTGGGTTTCTGCTCGCCATGCGAGACCCGCACATGGCGGCACTTTAATCGGCACCAGAAGTGGATGCAGTACCTTTTTCCTTAAATCTTCCTCTACATCCGCTTGGAGACCGGCAACAGCAGGCTATTATCCAGACTCCGCCCTCCGCCAACCAAATAGAACTCTATGGCTTCAGAACGTGGCCGGCAAGGCATTTCCTTTCGTGGTGCATTGTGGGAAGGGAGACGAAAAAGAAGGGGCTATGGCGGATGGTGAGGAGCCGTAAGTACCTCCGCGCCGGCTTGTTTCCCTTCCTAATCCCTCCCCGCCGTCGCTGCCTGGAACAGGCTCCGGGGTGGTGGCGGGGAGCCCCCCTTTCGCCTCTGCCCCCCACCCGCCTTCCTGGTCGTGGCGGGGGAGCGCGACTTGAGCCTGACCCGGTCGGTGACTGACCCTTCTTTTATTCTCTCTCGTTATAGGGAGAAGAAAAGAAGGAGGCTAGAGGAGCGGCGGCGGCTAGCGGGAGAGAGGCAGAGAGAGATGGGGTCAGTGCGGGGTAGGGCGGAGGGGCGCTGAGGAGGAAGGAAGAGGCGAGGAGGTGCTGGCGAT